TGGGTCACTCGTGCACTTTCAAAATTTTGTCTGGCTCTTACAACGGCTGTTTACGCATTAGACCGTCGGCGCTTGGGGAGCTAGTAGCTTAGTAGTATACAATTTTTTTCAGTATAGTTTGGTCCCGCCCCCCCTCCCTCCCTTCGAGCTACAGGGGACAGTCACTTTCGCCAGGGCACGAGTGACCCGACGTTTATACCAGCGAAGGGTTAATATTACACAAAATTTTAATTAAAAAGAATTAAAGAAATAACAGTACAAAATAAAAATATTTAATTAAAACAAAATAAATAAATTTTTCTTGTAAAAAAACTTGGCACACGTGTTATATTGGATTTATATTGTTGAGTAGGAAATTACAACTAACCTGTATGTTACATGTTGCATTATGTTTGGTGGGACCCTAATATGTGAGAGGCAAAGGGACTCACAGTAAAAAAGCAGCTCGATCCGTGAGAGGCGATGTCAAGTTTCACTTCAACTCCATCTATTTCGGGGAATTTTCATGCTAGATATGAAAACTAAGATCATATTTGAATCCGGCGTAAAAAAAAATCCATAAGAAACGATATGTTTTACTTCGTTATATATTTTATTCCTTGGTATGAAGACTTGAAGAGTTTTGTGTATTTTCATGGATTATGAGAAACCATCACCACTTCATATATCCGAAACCATGCCTTATTTTAAAATTTCTCTGGGATTAATGTCCCATCATATAGGCTGCGTTCGGGGAGCGCGCTATTAGGGCTATTTGCTTATTTTATCCTTGTTTTATACCTGATGAGCGATAAAGATAGAATGATGCAATAGCGCTAATAGCGTGCTCCCCGAACGTAGCCATATAATACTATTTGGCATTAAAAAAAGTTTGAAAGTCGAAGTCCAAAAAATGGGCAAAAAACAGGTCTTTTTGCCATATCATTCTTTAACATTTCAGACTTTGCATACTGGTAGGGCACGTAGCGGAAAAATAAAAACACTTTTATTATATAATTCAAATCCAAGCTATCGATTGGGTCTACTTAGAACTTGATCGGTTGAGCGGTTATTGAGATCTCAAAATCTCGGGTACTCGCAATAACTCGTGCGTTCGCGTACGTAAAAGAGTCACGGTGGACTCGCTTAACGTGCACTTGGCGCGAGACACTACCGTGTCTCTTGATCATGTAAGTAACAATAACATTTCTAATGTCTGAACGAAAAATTCTAAGAAACGATGAGCATTTGTCCGTACGACACGCGTTTTCGTCCTAACATTGAAAATGGGGCATAATCTAAAAATATTACAAATATTAATAATTACAATTGTAAGTAATACAAAAAAAGTGACAAGATTAGGAACAGAAATAAATTAGATATAATACTTAAAAATATAACTTTTGCGATATAGATGATGATATTTGATTGAAGAGAGAGAGAGAGAGAGAGAGAGAGAGAGAGAGAGAGAGAGAGAGAGAGAGAGAGAGAGGGAGAGAGAGAGGGAGAGGGAGAGAGAGAGAGAGTTTTGTTTCGTTGAATTAAATTTATTCATTTCTGCAAATGATTAGGTTGTTTAGAGAAACCAACTTCTTTTTTGTTGGAAAGTTCCCTTAACAAATATTATTTAAATTCGTGTTGTCCAAAACAAAAATTATTTTTATAGTTAATTTGTAACCCAACAAATTATTTTTTTCCATACAACACAATTTTCTTTGTTCGTTCAAACAAATAGTCTCCACATTTCCCAGTAAGCAAGGAACATTAAATTAACGTTTAGAAATATTGACTTTATGTGTATTTTTTAAACGTTTTTTAATAATATTATACACATATTTGAAAAATATTATTTCGTAATATGATTTTTCTGAATGTTGTTAAAATATTTTAAAAACGTTACAAAAAATATTTTTCAAATGTTACTCTGACATTTATTTGAGATCAATGCAACAGTTCAAAGTTCCTTGTAATTTGGACTTGGAAATAACGTTGGTAGTATATTAATTTTCTGTTGTTAGAATGTTATTGTTTTATATTGTACGCAACGCTCATCGCGACATGATGCGTACATTTACGTATGTACAATGCGTGAGTGCGTATACACGCGTGTGGATCGAGCAGTGCGGAGTGCTCTTTATTTAGAGTATATTTATATATAAGTAAGTAACTATTATATTCTAAAAGTTGTATATTAATAATAAGAACTCAATTAACCATACGTGCTATGAATAGTAGTTGATATGATTATTTATAACCTATAATTTAGGTTAACTACAAATAACGTTCTTTGGGTATCGGTAGAAGCTATATAGTGGAATTATTTGCTATTTTCTTGCAATTTACTGCCGATTATTTTTAGCTGTTTGAACGCGTCGAGATCATGAGCAGACGCACGCTTGTCGCGACAGCCCATCGGAAGCAGTAATAGTTCTGGAGACTGTAGTCGCATTATCTTACATACGTATGATGCGTGAGTGTGTCATATATACGTACGTTTGTGCTTGTGCTGTCGAGCGCTTTTAATTGTATACAACATTTTTATATGAGTAAGTAATTACCCAGTAAGCAAAAAATTATTATTACAATGTTATTGCAACGATATTCTAGAACTTGTAATGTTGTTAAATATGTAGTTCTTAATGTTGTATAGAACATCATTATGAATATACTTTGACCACGATTCCGAAATTTCAGTAATGTTGAAATGGGAGTGCCATAACGTTGCAAATAACATTTTGCTAAGGTTTTTCTATCATTCTTGTAACGTTTTTGAGATAAAAATTTAAACGAACTATCAACTTTATTACAATATTATATTAAGATTACCGTAATATTAATTCTAACGTTTATTTAAAGTTATTATTGATATTTTATTTTTATTTCAGGGAGTATGTATTTATTTTCAATAAAATGCACTACACTAATTACCATAAAAAAGTAGTTTTATTTATATGAACAAATATATACATATACATATACATATATAGGTTTTATTATGAGATTTATTTCGTATGCCAATTATTTCTGCAAATTATCTCTGCCAATTATCTCAGAAAGTATTAATTCTAGGAAGGGATCCTAGGAAGGGATTTTTGAAGTTAACCTTCAGATAAGGGAAATTAAGGTGCCTTCTAACTCTTTTTTAGGCAATGCGATACAGGTGCTCTAGTTTAATATAACTCTTTTACTATTTTTTTCCAAACTCTTATTCTTTCCTTTTAAACAGATTATTTATCTTTCCGGATCTTTACCAACTTAACATAAGCTAGCACACCCCTACTCATTAAAATTATATTAAAAAATAAAGTACTTAATACAGTACAATTATGTGCTTTTTATGTGCTTTTAAATGTCTCAAACCAAATTAGTTTATCTGTAATAGTTTAAAAGATATACGTAAAAAAAGGATCTATATACTACTGATATAAGAGTAAAGTATCAGTTAAAATACAGAAAGCAAAATAATTCTTGTCTTAAAATGTTTCTTGATTAATGTGTTCTCGAAATATGCACAATGAAATTTTCGTGCTTATCCCCTTTGACCGACCCGAACGTGAACACCCCATACATACAAGAGTAAAGTACCAGTTAAAATACAGATAGCGAATTGGTTTTAGTCTTAAAATATTCCTCAATTTATGTGCTTTCAAAATATGCACAATGAGATTTCTGTTCTCATCCTTTTCGACCGACCCGAACGTGAACACCCCATACGTACAAAAGTAAAGTACCAGTTAAAATACAGATAGCGAATTGGTTTTAGTCTTAAAATATTCCTCAATTTATGTGTTTTCAAAATATGCACAATGAGATTTCTTTGCTCATCCCCTTCGGCCGACCCAAACGTGAGCACCCCATACGTATAAAAATAAAGTACCAGTTAAAATATAGATAGCGAATTGGTTTTAGTCTTAAAATGTTCCTCAACTTATGTGTTTTCAAAATAAACAGAATAAGATTTTTGTTTTGGTTAATGTATTGATTAACTTGTTTAATAAGATTTCAGAAAAATTTTTATTTATATGTATTTATATGTATTTGTATATGTATTTGTATACATTTTTAAAGTTATTTAATATGAGTTAGGAGTAAGTATTGCAAAGTTGCTAAATATTATGGAGAATGGGTCACTGAGATTCTGAACAATATATAAATACATATAAGTAAACATATGTTTAATTAATTTTTAACATTCCCTTTCTAATAATAGAAACAAAATGTAATTTTCAAAATTAGTTACTCTTTAGTAAACTTTAATTTGTATTTATATAAAATCTCTTGTGTATTGTTTTTCATGATAATATTACATGAATGATAGTACAGTTCACGCTACAATTGCGTGACTAATACTTGAAGGATATATTTGTTTTATGATGTATAAAAGAATATGGTAATAGAATATTTAGATATTACATATATAATTGTTTATTTAAAAAATTTGTATCAAAAAATTACATTAACAAAAAAAATTAATGTGATTTTTATGCTTTTAAAATCATTGTGCATATTTCGGGAGCACATAAATTGAGGAATATTTTAAGACTAAAACCAATTTGCTACCTGTATTTTAACTGGTTAGGTACTCTTGTACGTATGGGGTACTCACGTTCAGGTCGTTCGAAGGGGATAAGCACGAAAATTTCATTGTGCATATTTCGAGAACACATCAATCGAGAAACATTTTAAGACAAGAATTATTTCGCTTTCTCTATTTTAACTGATACTTTATTCTTATATCAGTAGTATATATATCTTTTTTTGCGTATATTTTTTAAACTATTACAGATAGACTAATTTTGTTTGAGGCATTTGAAAGCACATAAAAAGCATATAATTCTAGCATATTGAGTTTTTTATTTTATATGTAATTTTAATGAGTGGGGGTGCTAGCTTACGTTAAGCCAACACCCTCAGTTTCAATTGCAATTTCCCACGAAACCGCTCGAGCACAAAAATCGTGAATAGAGCACATAATTAACGCATAAAGAGCACTTAATTTCTGCATATGTGTTATTCCGGTTTTTTATGGAGGGTGCTAACTTAACAGACATAAATACATTATATTACTTTTTTACCTTTTAAGATTTTTTCCTTTGTTTACGGATGTTTGCAAATCTAAGCTATTCCATTATAGTGTTCCAAGTCTTTCTCTGTATTACAAGGGATTGTTGTCTAATAGCCTCTAAAACAAGAAGAATTCAATATAGTTTAGATAAGAAAAAGGTTGTAATTTAATATATACATAATTTAATTATAATAAGCAGCTTTACTTACGACTTGTGTAAAAGTTTCTTGGTCATCTTTTAGCATTTCTAGTATCTTGTACAGAGTTTTCCTTATAATATATTGTTCACTGATGTTTATCTTAGCCAGGGTCAAATTTTTCAAATGGTGGTTTTTTGAATTTGATACAACAATTGATCCCATATGTTAAGACATATTCATTGCCCTGTACATATAAAATATGCTTACAATAATCTATTTATATACTTTAGAGTGTGATTATAGCACATATATGTGAAAAAAATATAGAAATAAATAAAAAGTCAGTTTTGGTCTTGTTTGTACTGATCGTTTGTTACATATCTATCAACTTTATACCAATTTTATACTAAATTACTTTTACAGTGATATATGCAAACAATGATGTATTAAAGCCGCACAATACTTCAACAAATCGTCTTCATGCATAGTGTACCAGGTTATTTATACGTTATCATTTACATATTTCGCTAAATTTTGAGGTTATTTTATAGAAAGTTACACTGTTTGGTACCATTGAAATAATAGCATTGACGAACCTTGATGATATTTTTAATGTCCAAGGACAAATCTATTATAGAACGTAA